TTTATGTATGTATGTGTGTTTGCCTTACATTTACAATTAGTCGATATTCCTACTTGTCGGTTCCACTTGGATGGGCAAATGAAATTGATACAAATATTTGTGTTGCGTTCGAATTTTTGTCAAAAAAGTGAAATGAACAAAGTCTATGCCACATAACGCATAAGTTACTAGCGGTATTTGCATTGACTCCGCATTCGACGAACTAGTAAAAAACTAGTAAAACCATAAGCAAACACGTAACGGCACGATATACTCTAAACGAGGCGAATTCTTTTTATGGCGAAATGAAGCAAACTTTTGATAAAACATGTATGACTTTATGTTAGGGTGGAGCGAAAAAAAAATTTTTTTTGTTGCTTAGCCTGAGGGTAAAATTTGTAGATTGTAAAAAAAGAAAAATTTTTTAACATCTAGAGGCGACCCACTCACTTTCAGAGTAAATTTCGAGTTAAAATTCTTATTTATTAAAAATTTTTTGATAAGTATTGTAAAAGCTTTGGAGAGTCCTTTTTCTGGAAAATTAAAAGTTATCAACTTAAAAAAAAATTTTGTGGTCATTAAAACTAATTTTGAGTCAAAAACCGTTAAATTCGGTAATTTTTATATAAATGTGAAGTGTTTAAACCAAAAAAAAATTGTTTCGCTCCACCCTACTGTTTATATTTTTTTTATATAATTCTACATATATACTGAAAAACATTAACTGTTCATTTAGAGCTGATTTCTGAAATCTCACACAATAATTGACAAAAACGGCATGCGATACCATCTCAGATACTGTTGATTCAGAACTTTAAGGGAATTCAACGAATTGCGCTTCTTTAGTTAATTTTGATAGCGGCGTGTAGCCAAAAGGTGCAATTTTTTTATTACTCCGTGTCTGTGAACTGACCAGGCAACCAATGTGACTGTAAGTTGTGTGCTTTTATTAATAGACAACTTGGTTGAACCGTTTAGACGCATTAGTGAGACAACTGCTACCCACAACAACATAAGTCAACCATGAATCGAGTTTGTTACTGCAGGTGATTGCGGCACGCCACACAATGAGAGTTTTGCTGTCTTACTTGCATATCCTTATGTTATGCTAAATAATCCTTTGCCTCAGGCGCCTACCTTCCAAGCAATACACATTTGTGTACGTTTGCTACTATGTTTACAGATGCATATTACTCGTTCCAGCGTATTTATGCCATGAATAGTTTGATGACATTTTTCTTGTCTATTTAGATTTATTTTCCGCTTCACCTTTTTTCTACTACTAGTTGTCGTAATTTTTTTAAACTTTTTTTTTGTTGTTATTTATCTTCACCTTTAACCCACAACTCAGCTTGAGCTGTGTTTATGCCGTGACGGTCTTGCTGCGACCACACTTCTCAACACACTTGAATAGTTGACTCGTCCGGCAATCAGCTCGCTACTAATGTCTCCGTGTCTCGCCGGTCCAACAAAGTAACAAATGTACAATGTAAATAAAAATAACAGTAAAAACATACATAGTTGTATGTGAAAGTCTTTGCCATAGCGTCGTTAAGCATTGTTGTTATTTTCCTGTCTTAACTGCCATCAGTGTGCTTTATGTGCTTCGCCTGCCCGACTGCCGTACTGTCCGACTGACGGTTCGTTATTAGTCTGACTGCGGTTTTATGTTGATGAATTTGTAGCCATTGCCCGGTGGTTGCACATCAAGTCTATCGCCGTGCATCGTCAGTATCCGCCGCAGTCAGGACCTTCAATGTTGTTGATTTACTTGGCCAGTCGTTTTATCTATTTGTTTTTTACTTTTGTTTTTCTTTTATTGTTATTTTTTTTTTTGCATATTTCACTCTCTACCTTTTACTACACGGCTTCGCAAGCACACTGCTTGCGGCATTGCCCAGCTCAACTTTTTGATTGTATAGAGTAGTCATTCTGGTCAGCATGAAAGGTGGGAATATTGGAAGACACACGGACATGGCACATCGAGCTGTTGCCTGCGACTATCGTTGCTGACTTTCTGACTTTGGAAGAGTTTCCTTTTTAATGATTATTCATTTGCAAATATGACTGCCAAATGAGAGACACAACGCGATGTTGCAAGATATTTTTTACTCGTTATCATCCAAACTTCATTAAATATATTCAATATAATCGACCATTTTGAAAGCAGTGACTATATCTTTGATATTTCTTATAAAGAGTTACGATTTGTGACTTAGCATGGTCTACAAATCAATGCCGTAGGATTAGGTTGGTTCGGAATGACTTTTCAATTGTGTAACATATTGATAAAACCCTTGTTTTGTATAGGTTGGCTATAAAGTGTCTGCGCTCGAAATGCTTAAATACTGTTCTTGCTACGAAATATATATTTTTATTCAATATAATCTGCCTTAACTTCAATACACTTATTCCAATGATCCTCCAATAATTTTTATGCCATCCTTATAATGACTTTCCGGTAATTCTGCAAAATACCCGTATATGACTGTAATAGCTTCTTCATGCGATGAAAAACGCTTTCCACGAAGTAATTGTTTCAGGTTTCTGAAGAGGTAGTAGTCGCTGGGAGCCAAATCTGTTGAATACGGTGGATGCTCAAGCAATTCGTACTTTAATTCGTTGAATTTTGTCATTGTTAAAACAGTTTTGTGAGCAGTTGCATTGGCTTGATGAAAAATTATTTTTTTGTGCTGCAAACCAGGTATTTTCTCACGATTTTTTTTATTCTGCTGATCCAAAATGCTGCAATAATATTCAGAACTGATTCTTTTACCTGTCTGCAGATAATCAATCAACAAAATTATTTTTGCATCCCAAAAAACTGATACCATAACCTTCTTTGCTGAGCGTTGTGACTTCACCTGCTTTGGAGCTAAACAACTAGCTTCAGCTCCATCCAAATAAAATAAACTTCGGCTTAGTAGAGAGCAAACTCTTTTTCTATACAGATTTAGAGAATATAAATTGTTTTTAATATCGTCCCCCTTACAGACCTTAGTTGGGAAATAATTGCAATTCCTTTAAAAAATTGAATTTAGTTTTCATTTCCTGATTGTCTTCGCACAACATATCCGTGCTGTCAGTAACCTGGTTTTCAATTAAGCAAGTTACACACGAGTTCCCCTGCAAATCTTTTGCACTCACGTGCTCGGCTACAACTTTAACAATATCCCGAAAGCAGAAATTTATTGAAGTTGTTGAACTTTGTTCCCCAACGCTGCTTTAATGCTTAATGAACGACAGGAAACGAACACAGCAACCGCAGGCACATACAGGCACACACACGTCGGCGGGCACTGAGCGAACGCGCTAAGCCACATCCTGTCACACACACACACACATACAAAAGCTGGCTTCCGCTGCCACCCAGCTCACATACACACCTACCTACCATACATGCACACATGTACATGAGTGACACCCATGCAGCGGCTACTGAGTGTGAGTGTGCATGTGTGGAACGCAAATGAATTTCAACAAAATGCGCCGCATGTGGCAGTTAGTGGTGGTGGCATGCTTTGCCTGTCATTGCAAAGTTGCCGCCATCAAATATCGCCATAATTGCGCCTGAACTGCTGGCAAACAGCTGACGACGACAGGCTACGAGCGTCGTTCGAGTGGCAGCAACGCACTGAGTTGCCGAGTAGCAGCAACAACGGTGACAGCAGTGTATCTGTTGCAACTTCACGTCATTGACACACATGCGTATGTACGCGTGTGCGGTTAAGGCAGATGCTGACTTAGCATTTGATTGCCGGCAGCCGTCAGCCGCGAACGCACAACCTCGAGACTATTCGCCAGCGCATAACCCATGTTGTTGCCACAGACGTAACTTTTGTGACCCAAGTGTCCGCAACTGTTGCTGCTTTCACCACCGCTGAAGCCAAGTCGCGTTTGAAGCCAATTGCTATCGTGTGTGCTGATGGCCCTCTCGAAAGCTGCCGCCAGCACCGCCGCGCTCTCAGCAGCAAGCGCAAAAGAGCAAAAATTTAATTAAACTACCAATACGTCTAAATGTTGGTGCACTGTATGCTTGCAGCACACAGCGTGTGCCGACTTCATGGCCCCCAAAGTGTCTACATAAGTATGCGCGCACTCACACACTCACACACACACCTAATAATGCGCAGTTGGTTCAATTTATTGGTAATGTTACGCCACGAAGGCGAGAACGGCGTGTCGCAGGCTATGGTGCAACATTGAACCTCCGGTGTTGAGAGCCAATATGCGGCATGGTTGGCATTGCAACATGGCGTAACGGCAGTAAATGTCAACACTCGAACGCCGTTGACAACGCAGAATGAATGAATTGGACTCAAGCACCGATTGCCATAAAATGCCGGCGAGCGGATGTGAAACGCGAACTTGAACGCGACGCAGTCATAGGGACGTTGTTGATTGCTGTGTGGCGACGTTGATGGCGCTGATGGCTCACATAACACCGTGAAGTATTCAAAGCACGCAATTTGCTGGCGCTTGTTTATGCAGCTACAAACGACATGCACAAGGGTGATGGGCAAACACCAATCAGCCAACTGCCACAGCTGGAAATGGCGCAATAAACCTGTGCCAAATGCATAAACTCAGCGTTTGATAATTCAAGCTGAAATTGCGTGCACGACATATCGAACAATATACGGATTTAACGCCTACCAAAGTGTAGTGTGTCTCCCACATGTGAAATCGTTATAAACGCACAAAGACGGTACTGGTTTGGCAAGTGGTTTGGTCCAAAAGGTTTTTTAAAAGTAGACGAGAGTAATACTAGTACTACAAGTCGCACGGATCTAAAGAAAGTTACATTGAATGTTGCATAATTAGCAAACTTTGTTGACTCCAAACGAATTTTTGTTGCAATTGTTATGAGCGAGGTTTAGGATGCCCTTTAGAATATAATGTTTCATTACCAAATCTTGGCTATGATTATACAATAGTATCTAGTATAAACATATACTAGAAGTAAAATATAGCTTAGTTGCTTGCTGTATCGCCAGTTGATTAATAGAATTATCACTCACCTTCTAAGTCCACAACGCGCCCAGCACGTTTCAGCGCGCGCACCGCCTCGTCATGTGTTGCTTCGCGCAGCTCCTCGCCGTTCACCGACAAAATGGCATCGCCCACATACAGCCCCTTAGCCTGATCCGCCGCCATGCCGCGGAAAATTTTCGATATCAATATGGGCATACGATTTTCACGTCCGCCCTTAATGGAAATGCCGAGACCGTTGTTGTCCGATTTAATGATGCGCACCTGCCAAAAAAAACGCAGCAGAAATTAAAAACAACAATACAACACGTACGTATAGTGCCCAGCTTACATGTCTCTTTTGATTTGCCACATGATCAGGTACATCGCACATATCCAGTCCATTGTCCATTGTATTATTGTTCAGCAGATGGTCACCACCATTACCGCTGCCACCACCGTTATCCGTACAATCCGTATCACCGCCATTGCCCGCGCCTGTGCCGCCCATACCCTGCATGGAGGCCGATGAGGGTATGGACCCATTATGACCGCTGTGGTTGCTGCTGCAAAGTGCAACGTTAAAAAAAAGAAAAACAACAACGATATACACAATTAAAAATGCACTTAATTACAAAACGGCCAGCGATTGCGCACGGAGCCAAGCTTATTTACAAGTTTCGCAAAATTTAAACATTCATTGCTCATACATCCGTACATATGTATGCATGGATTCACAAGCACCGCCAGCTACTTACCCCAAAGTACCATTCAGTGTGGTCGATTGGTCCACACTGATGGCCGCCGCATCGCAGGACTCGTCCAAACTAATTGCTAGAAAGTCGGTTTCCAGCGTCACCAGCACCCGATACCAGGCGCCTCTCACGCGCGTCTCCAACGTGCCACAACGCATGCCGGAGGGCGAATGCTGTGCGGCGGTGATGGCAGCTGTTGCCGGCTGCTGTGGATTTACACATCCAGTTAGTGGCCGGCCAATGGCCGAGGACTCCACCATGGCGTGGCGTGGCGTGCCGCGACAGCTCAACCGTCAATGCGTGGCTATCACTGCCACTTACTTTGACTATGGGCGCTATGGGAATTTGCAATAATGCTGTGGGTCCTTTGATATTGCTCTTGTCGCTGCCGCTACTGTCAGTGTATTGTTGCCTTAGTCAAAGTGTATAGTAATACAGTTCCGCCGATAGAATAAACCGTTATTACATGTGATGCTTAATATCGCTTTGAATGGTAAAATTTTGACACGTCCGCAGGCGTTTGCTGAAACAATAAAGAACCGGTAAGTGTAAGTAAAAAAAAAATTGCAGCATAATAATATCGATCATGAAGTAAGTGCTGGAACTCATGAAAACCAACTAACTTTAAGCTTAATGCTGCTATTTGAACCTCATAAAAAACAAAACTGAAGTAACAAATAATTAAATCCGCAACAGTGGAATGCCAAAACACGGATTTCGATTTCGGCCAGCAAAACCTCGTGAAGGTACTCTGTTCTATCAACAAGCGAGCTTTACAACCACAATACCGCAGAGGCGCTCCCACACGCACACATACAACTTACAAATAACCGAAAATCTCGAACTTTTTGGTAGACAAACAACAGACTGCGGCTGCACATGAAACCCGAGCATTGTTGGGTGGGAATAAAATCCAATAAAGCCAAACTAGGAGTGAAAACAAAATACAATAAAATGAAATTAAAAGCACAGCGATGCCAGCTGTCAATAAAGAGCGCCAACACAGCACAAACATTTATACAGATGTATGTATGTGTGTGTAAGTTTGGGGAACCGTGCGGCTACAAAAGTCGCCAACTGTTCAAGTGATTGCTTATGGATATGAGTGCAAGTGTTTCATGGCTGGACAGCGAAATATCAACAACTCAAAACCGTTTAGTGAGCCTGGAAACAACGGCGAGACGTAAGGAAAACATTCCAAATATATAATACCATTCACAAATACAAAGCCTTCTTACAAGAACTTGCTTCCGATCGTTCAATTTGTATGGCTGCCACATGATATAGTAATCTGAGCTGAACAATTTCTGCGGAGAATAATTTGTTGCCTGAAACAATTACTCGTGACTAATTTCGTGAAAATAACTCGTCAAATGAAAAAGTTTCCCATGCAAGCACTTTACTCCGATTGTTCAGTTTGTATGGCAGGTGTATGCTATAGTAATCCGATCTAAATAATTTCTTTGATAACATTGTTTCTTAAAAAAATAACTCATAACTCATGTCAAATAAAAAAGTTTTCCATACAAGTACTTGATTCCGATCGGTCATTTTGTATGGCAGCTATAGTGGTCCGATATCGACCGTTCCAACAAATGAGCAGCTACTTAGTGAGAAAGGGACAGGTACAAAATTTCAGATCGATAGCTTAAAAACTGAGTGACAAGTTCGTATATATACAGACAGACGAACATGACTAAATCAACTCAGCTCATCATGCTGATCATTTAAGTATGTATATATTTCATAGGGTCTCCGACGTTTTCTTCGTCGCAAACTTAATATACCCGGTTCAGGGTATAAAAACGAACTGTGTCGCCATGGCGAGTGTGAACTTCAGCTGTGATTTTCACTCTTAATTTGAGGCCTTATAATTATTGCTGACCAAGAGTTGCTCTTAGTTGTGTGAATGGAGTGAGGTTAGAGAGTATACAAATGAAACAGCTGGTTATATAATAATGACTACCATTATGCTTCCAATTGGGACCAACAGCACAACCTGTGGTGTTTTTCAGTTTTTGAATACGGACTTTTTGCCACACTGACTACATTAAGCTCAGTGTAAGCAATTTTTAGCTTTACAAATTCAATATATTCACTTCTTAACAATTTCGTTCTCCACCCTTGAGAACACTTCGAACGAGCTGTTCGCTGAATACCGCCTAACATCGGCTTCTTGAAATACGAAAACATTCGTATACATAACAGTTTTATGTAATATTATAAAGCATGAAAACACACCCCCGTTATACCAAACCAGATTTTTTGTCAAATTCAATTTACATTATTCGCACACAATTTATTTTCCGCCCAGTACAAGCTCTTTGCTGCATGCATATTCGTGTATGTATGTATGTAGGTTGTTATGTATGTTATATTGCCGACTTTCGAAATAAGTCAACACAAATTGTCGGCTGACATATGAATTCCCACAACTATAATTGTGTCAAATTAATTTTGCTTTGCTCAAATTTCAGAGAAAATAAAATGGAATGCAAACAATTCCAAATATGACCGTAAACATAACTTTTGCCACACGCACACACATAAGCATCAAAGCGCACACACACACATGTGGCCACGCATGAATGTTTATCCACAAATCAAGTCAAACTCCATTTCACTTTAAATTTCCCCTTGGCGATGAGCGTAAATTGTTCGTGTCGTGAGCGTCTTGGGAAATTCGCATGAGAGACTACATGATTGTGTGTGTGTAAATACCAAAACATAAACATATAAATAATTTATAATTTAACGCTTTTGTGTGTGCTTTAACAAATTTGATGAAATGTCACCTTCATTGCGGCGTTTACATTGCTGACACACACACGCACACACACGCCTTAGTCGGTATAGACGATTTATGCGAACATCGTAACTGTATTTGACTTTATTTGCACAGTGCTCGGCAATGGCTTTGATTTCGTTTCAAGTGCGCAATAAAACTTGCCACACATTATTGCAACAACTGTCAGCGCTGTGGCAGGTGACTTCATGGCCGTTGTAAATATTGTGGATTGCACTTACGCCGTCAACGCTGCCAATTTGTGCGCTTTTATTGCGTGAAACGGAAGTGGCACGCGCAGGCGTGCATGTGTCGCATTTCCGAGGCAATGGCGAACGAACAGTAAAGAGAGACGTCAAGAACTTGGCAATTAATACGTTAAGCGCGTTGGAAGCGCAAGCGCGAATGCTACGGTACACTCGAAAGTGTTGCGAAACCACTCAGAAATTTCAGTGAAGCCGTAAATGAAGTTGCGTTAAGGGGAACGCGAAATGAAAAAAACAACAATACAAGAAACTACACCTTACCTAAAGGCGCGCGTTGAAAGTCGTGTAAGCTGCTCTTGCCACAACATTATGTCGCATCAATAAAAATCAGTTTGACTACACTTACGCGGAACGAGCAAACAACGGAATAGCGCCAATACACACACACACGCATACTTGGTGCATAAAGTAAAGTTGTATACTTTCAGTTGATGTTTATACGAAATATTCTTTTATATGGAATTAGCAGTGAAACTTCGATAAATGTGACATACGAGGTTTTGTTTTTGTTATTATGTGCTTGCATTGTTTATCATGTGCTTGCATTAGCAGCCAATTTCGGTTATTAATTTGTTTTTGACAACAGAAAAGGTTAGTCACAATTTTGTGTGTTCTTCGATTTTTGACTTTTGAAAGAAATGGAACAAAGCAAATGTATCAAATCTTGCATTAAAAATGGAATAAAGTGCTCCAAGGCACTTGAAATGTTGACTGTGGCATTCGGTGAATCCACTTTGTCTCAAAAAAGTGTTTATAAGTGGTACAAACGCTTTACAAAAGGTCGAGAAGATGTTGATGATGATGAACAGCCTGGAGATGCGACCAAGTCAACAAGCGCAGAAAACATCAAAACAGTCCAAAAAATTGTTTTTAAAAATCATCGAATCACTATTAGGGAAGTTGCAGAGGATGTTAGCATATCAATCGGCTCGTGCCATATAATTTTCTAGAATGTTTTGGGCTTGAAACGCGTGGCAGCGAAGTTTGTTTTGAAATTGCTAAATTTGAGCAAAAGCAAAAGCTCACACATCAGGGCTTATGTGAATTTTTGGTCAAAAACCAAACCGTAATCATGCCTCAACCACCATATTTACCAGATTTGGCTCGATGCGACTTTTTTTACTCTCAAAACTGAAGTTGGCAATGAAAGGAAAGCTTTTTGCCATGATTGATGAGATCAAGTCAGAATCGAAGAAAGAGCTGATGACCAAACCGAAAAGCGCATTTTAGAAGAGATTCGAGGATTAGAAAAAGCGTTGGCACAAGTGTATTATATCCGAGTGGAATTACTTTGAAGAGAGAAAAATAATAAATAATTCAAAATTCATTTTGTCCATGTACAGTACAGTACACTAACAAACACTAAGGTAAACGCACACACACATCAACTGTACGTTATTATTGCTGCATAAGTACTCAGCAACAATTGCACTCACCGTTGTTCTGCCATAGAAGCATACTTTTAGTCTCTGCATTTTCTCGCTTCATTGCTTCATAAACAGCGTAGAAGCATTTGTCAAGAAAACGCCAGAAAGTCACGTCTAAACGCGTGTTTACGACATTGCGAAAATTCAATTTCATAATTCTACCCATAAGCGATTACCAACACTAAGCCACAACGCGTAATCTGCGTAATCTGCTGCTTACATGCACACACACGCTCGCTCGAAGGGAGACGCAAGGTGGCATTCGTTCACACGTTATGTAAAGAGAGTAATGGAGCAACATCCTTCACTTTCCACTTCTCTCTCTAATGCAAGAAATTAGCGCCGCTCACGCTGCTTTCTTCATTGGACTCACTAGCATATACTACCATATATGTATATAGCACGAAACCTAGATACCTGCTTTGAAACTTGTTTGGTTAGGTTTCATTAAGCGACAACTCAATTATGCCACTTACCCCTTTGTAAATTCGATTCTTACATCTTTTTAAGGCTAACTCTCAACCTAAACTAAAGAAATGAGTTGGTCTACGCAGAAATAGTGTACAACCTAGGGTGCTTTTAGATAAAATTTCTATTTTTTTAGACCACCAGTGGTTGCAGCTCAAGTACTTTAATCGCACTCCCATACATTTCCCAACTTTGTTGATCACCTACTTCACCGGCGCTATCAATTACTAGTTTAATGACAGAAATTTTGGCATTTTATTTTTGGTGTTTTTTCAACCTGACTGCAGACGCACTTTGTTAAAAACTGAAGTAAATACGCTTTAACCGATTTGTTCGATAAGCAGCCAATAAATGACGGTTCATTAGAGCGCCAACATCATTAGAGGCAACAATGAAGTGCTCCGTGTACTTTGATGTATTGAACAGCCCGCAAGAACTTCGTAAAGGAAGAGGGCGCAGACCATTTATCAACAAAAGATTTCACTGAAAGAAGCACAGCAATGTTAACGGAATAACTTCATAGAGAACTCTGCCAAGGAAATAGCAAAAGTCACGCTTAACAAAATAAAAAAAAGATATAAAAAGCATAACCGCAAATGTAAGCACAATAAAACTGCTATTCTTATTGTATTAAGTACGCCTCTTCCCTGCTTCGGAAACACGGTGACTGTTAGTGTTGTTGGACGTAAAGCGTCAGCTCAGAAAGCTTTAATCATTTTCAAGGGTCATTTTTCTTACATAAGAGACACTTACATAAAAAAGGTATGCCTTGGGCAGCGGTTGCAAGGTTGACAGCGACGCACGAATGACAAATTCGCAAATAAGGTGGGCCGTTGGAGCCCAGAAAGCAGAGAAATGAAATCGGTATTAAAGATTAGAAGCGAGCAGCAGTGTGAGTATGCTAAAAGCAGACAAAGCAAAAAGGCGTTGGCGCGTATAAACCGTTACAATTATGTGGGTGCAACGGTACAATGTATGCTCGCCACACAGTGTGTGGGGCTCGTGTGTGCCTGCAGGCGTAATTAAGCGCTTATTCATTTGTTAACGCATTTTAGACTGAAATGTAGACACATACTTGCGTATGTGTGCATATATATATATATTGTATGAATGTATATATGTAAATTAGGGTGGAGCGAAAACAAAAATTTTTTATTTCGTAATAAATGTTTGATAAGTGTTCTAGAAACTGGGTGTGAAAGTCCTCTTACTGGCCCATTAAAAGTTATCAGCTTAAAAAAATTTTTTGTGATCATTATTGGAGTTTTAAAAAACATCTTAAATGACAACATGCTTACCTTAAGCGTTCAAATAAATTTTAAGTTAAAAACCGTCAAATTCGGTAATTTTTATGTAAATTTGAAGAGTTATTTTTGCGCTCCACCCTAATGTATATATCAGACGAAGTCAATTGACATCATCAATAAATAGTAGAGCAGTTGCTGCGTTGCTCGCACACTCTGCGACAAGAAATAGTACTTCTCTTTCTTTCTGCTATCAAATTGTGCTTTTTCTCATGCTTTCCCACGTTTCACGCACTTAACTAAGATAGATTTTTTATTGCTGTTTCAATTTTGTTGTCAGTCATTCAAAAATCTTATGACTTCTGTGGTTTCTTTTATCTTTACAAACTTTCCACAGCCGAGTCGTTTTGCGAAGACACTCGTAATGCCGAATTTGCGCCAAGCAGGTAAGGACTTACAAATGGGAGCTCGATACACTAAACTTTTGCTAGCAGAAATCTAAAAGCCACACTGCATTGTTGGGAAGGGCTGAAAGCTGTGCGGTCGGAAATAAAGAACAAAATAAAACTTTTTATTGCTTTTCGTTGGTTAGGAACGTTCTCAAATATTTATTTTTATTTGTTTGCAGTTGACAATGTCGCAAAGTGAGAGTGGCGCGAGCTGCTTTCGGCAAAATCACACACAAATTTATGATGTAATAATACGATTACCTTTTTATCACGTAAATTTCTCTCTGCCAACTTATTTGTACACATATTCCCACTTTAATTTATACTTTTGATAAGATGGAGATTTTAAATCGTACAAATATAAACAAGAAATATATGTGTGTCGGATTAGTTCAGCCACTCTGCTAAAGAAAGGATAATTGACACTTCCACAGGCGCTTACAATGAGGGTAAGATATATATAGATATATATATAATATATATGTACATATATGTAAAAAATAATTATTATATGCGCAGCTAAGTTCCCGCTGTTTGTCAATAGATGGCTGCAGTAGTTAGTGGTGATCGATTTTGAAATATCCAAAACGTGATAAACTTAACCTAGACATTTGAAAAAGAAACTGCGTTTCTACATTAGCGACTTTGTTTATGTGTTATATACTTTTGGTTGTGCTAATATGTGCGATTTTTTGCCAAATAATTGTCATTTGCGGGAAGTGTTGATTTTCGTCTTTCATTGACTGAAAGCACATCGGGAACTCTAAAAAGTTTACGTAGGTGCTGCAACAAGTGAAACAACGTGCCGTAAGAGGCACGAAAAAGTGATTCTGCTGCATGAGAACGCTCGACCTCATGTTGCCAAATCCGTTAAAGCTTAAACCCTCAAACGCTTAAATGGGAAGTCCAACTCCACCCACCATATTCTAAAGATATTGCACCGTCCGATTATTATTTTTTCCATTCGATGGCTCGTGATCTGGCTCAACAGCAGTTCCACCCACAAGACGACATCGAAGAATGGCTTGATGATTGGATAACATCACAAGTTGAACAGTTTTAGCGTAATGGTATTCGAGCTTTGACAGAAGAATAGGAAAAAGTTCTGACTAGGAGGACAATACTTCGAAGAACTAATTTGTAATCATTTCCTTACAATAAAATTGCATTTTCATTAAACAAAAACAGCGAGAACTTAGTTACGCACCTAATATTATCTAATTTCAGTTCAACAGCTCAAGAATAGCATGTTATATAGAAAAAAAAACGTTCACGTAAACGGCTGCGCCGAAGGTATAATACCCTTTACAGATCGGTTTGTGTGGCAGCTATATGTTATAGTAGGTCGATTTGAACAATCTCTTCGGAGATTTTACCATTACCTTGTACCATAATAAGAAGAGAAGGAGGCCGTTAAACATCTTCTATGCGATTGTAAGGCTCTCTATAGGAAAATAATCGCAACCATCGGTCCAGGGTTTCTTGACAACGTCTCGGAGGTTGCACAGATAAAACTTGTCATACTGATAAAGTTCATGAGAAGCACGGGATGGTTCAGAGAGGAATCAATAGAGTGTGGGGACTCAAGTCCCGGTGGTATCACATTGGGCCTCCTAAAGGCCTAGGTGTGTCGAAAGACAGCCACTCTACCTACCTACCAGGATAATAATAACTTAGAAATTTCGTGAAGATATGTCGTCAACTAAAAAAGTTTTATTTTTATAGTGGTGCGATATTGGCGGTTCCGACAAATGAGTAGCTTCTTGGAGAGAAAAGAACGTGTAAGACTTTCAGATCGATATCTCAAAAACTGAGGAATTAGTACGCGTATATACAGACAGACGTGTACCATAGGCAGACGGACTTGGATAATCGATATATACCGGTATGAAACGAGTTAATTTTGAATGGGAAAGTAAAAAAAATTTACTCAAAGTATTGACCTTTACTTTTTATACATTTTGACCACATTTCTGGCAATTTGTGGATACCATGCTATTATAAATTTTCGTTTTTTGAAGCGTAGAAATTGAAGTGCTGCTAAGCCAATACGTGTCCCATCAATAAAAACAAATGGTAATAGGAAGGTGGTAATCAGAGGGTAGCAGCTCTCAGCCATGTACTTTGATTGTATCCTGAAACGATTTTGCTTTGTGTGCAGATGCATTGTCGTGTAACAAAATTACTTTTCCGTGTCTTCTGTCCTATTATGATTGTTTTTCGATCCATGCATGGTTCAAATTGATCAATTGATTCTTAAAATGAATTAATTTTTCCTTGCCAGTGACAATTCGTTGCAAAACTCATTTTTTTCGTGTCTTTGAAGCAAAATTTCACAAGCGTTTTTTTCGGTTTTTCCAGTTCGCTTTGATTCAATTCATGTGGCACCCATTATCCACACTATTGTATCTTTCCCATAGCTTTCAAATGGCCTGAGATGATTTATTTTGCAACATTTAACACGGCTTTTTCATTTGCTTTTGACTCAAAATATACTCTTCATCCAATATTGCTTGCAGTTCGACGTCTTCAAAATTTTTTGGTGGTCTTCCATGTTCTTCAATGCTCACATCATTCTCATTATCTGTAAACCGCTGAAACCATCTTTTGTATGTTGTTGCTGCTAGAGCATGATTACCATATGACTCAACAAGCATGCGATGCGACTCTGCAGCACTTTTCTTCAAATGGAAACAAAAATTTAATGCTTTCCACAAATCATCACTTTCCGTTACAAAATTTGACATTTGCAACACAATGAAAAAATATGTTGTTTGCTTGTTCAATGAATAACGCTGGATACGAAAAGTAATAGTTAAAGCATTCAATTTCAAGCAAAAATAATGGATTTCTTTTTACTAAACCTAATATATTTTATAGGGTCTCGGCATTCCCTTCTGAGGATTACAAAACTTCGTAGCAAACTTAAGGAAAAGGAATATTAATAAAAAGAAGGATTTAATATAACAGATTTTATAAGAGCTTTCAGAATATTTTTTCTTTGGCTGTCTCCACTAAATCAATTTTGTATTGTATTGTATTTTATAAATATTCAGTTGTAAATAACTCAAAATGTTGCAATGTATTGAATTTAAATTTTCCCATGTATTTCGAGACATTATGCGCAGCAATGCCGCAACCTTTCTGCAATAATACTTTTTAATTTATTTATTTATTAGCAATATAAATTACGCATTAAACTTCTAAAATAAATATTCCCACTTACTACTTACACTAACTTAGTCTAAAATCCCATAAATGCACTTTAAATTTCTATATTTATATGTATGCATGTATGTATGTGTGCGCGTGTGTATACTGTGTAGGTGCGTATGTATTGGAAAAGCAAAACGCTTGTAAACGCAAAGTAGCGGTTGTGCGGTTGTGCACTTCAGTTTGCAAGTATTAGGAAACAAAAGAGTAGAGTTCTTGTCCAGCCATGTTTACAAACTTAAAAAGTGCAACAGGGTGGAAACCCTGAAAAGAAAAACAACGAATGAATGCGTTGTGAAGTGGAAGAAAAGTCTGGCCAACAAAATTAAATGGTAGCTGCACAACAATTGTGAGCAGTTTGCAACAAAAAAAAAAAAAAAAAAATAAATAAATAACCTAAAACAACAACTACGGTCTAAGGTACAAATACAGGAAATTGAAATAGTGAACTAGCAAGAAATAAACAGGCTGAACTTTGTAAAGCACGCCGAATTAATGACTTTAATAGTGAAAATTAATAGTAGACTCGGCAATATATAAGAGCAAATGCAAGATAGCATTATACCTATATTCGAACGAAAAATCAGAGTTAACTCAACTTAGATATAAAACTGATATTTTATGGCTTCCACACCATAACCCGCTCGCATTTTGGCAAGATCACTACAAACTCAAGTTTAATTTAAATGCCATTTAGCCTACCCTTAAATCTTCACGATGCTCTTCGTATTTTGCACAAGTGATATGAGTTTCTAAAGGAATTCTTGATTCTTTTTTAATATATTCCCAATAGAAACAAGGCAATTTTCGCCCGTTAGTTTACCGCAAATACAAAACTACACGAAATGATCAAATCAAAGCGACGCTAATTCTCCCATACGTGCACACTTACTCTTATACATATGCAGAATACACGCGCGCTGTCGCTGAAAGCCGCTTACACAGACATATTTACGAAGCTGAATAGGAAAGCGACGGGTGCGTAGGTAAAAGCCAACATGCCACGTTATTGGCAGCGCACTACAAATTTGCATGGCTAGGCACATGCGTATATACTGACGTAACGGTATATTATATGTGCATATCAAGGTGGAGCGTAACAAAAAAAAATTTTATTTTGCTTAGCCTTTGGCTAAAATTTTTGACTATATATAAAGAAAATTTTTTGGAAAATTTTTTTCTGTTTAATATCATGAGTGGGCCCACTTTTAAAGTAAATTTCGAGTTAAAAATTTTTTTGGACAAGAACAAATTATTTTTGGTTTAAAATCACATCAGTAATAATCACACATCTTCACACTTATATAAAAATTACCGAATTTGACGGTTTTGGACTCAAATTGTATTTTAACGCTTAAGGAAAGCATGTTGTCGTTAAGACTTTTTTTTAAAACTCCAATAATGAAACACACAAAAAATTTTTTTGAGTTGATAACTTTTAATTGGCCATAAAGAGGACCCTTCACAGCTTCTAGTACACTTATCAAAAAGTTTTTACGAAATAAAAAGTTTAACTCGAGATTTAGATGTTGAAAATGTTTTTTTTTTGTCCAAAAATTTTCATTTTTTATAATCTACAAATTCTACCCTCAGACTAAGCAAAAAAAAATTGCTTTTTCGCTTCACCCTAGTGCATATATGTGTATGTATATATGAGGCAGACGTAGAAAAAACTGAATGTCTAGTTAAATGCTTTTAGGCGCTCAAGCGAGTTCACACAAAGAAAGTGCGCAGGTAATGGTTAGCAGCACGGCTCTAAACAAAGAAACAAAAGCAAAATTATATGTATGTATTTGTAAGTGAAATGAAAACGCCTCAATGTAATAGTAGAAAGGCAGACAACGCCGATAGACGCTAGCCAGAAAAGCAACGCGCACACTAATACACCGGCATCTACCAACGTTTGCGTTATCTTCGCGCTCACTGCTGCTTTTCGCTTGCGGCTGTTTGCCTTTGCTCTGCGCTGCTTGCTGCCGACTGGCGGCACATTAATTTGCAACTATGTTGTTCGTAATTGTCACTGCCACAAACTCCCGCAGGGGTAAGTGAGTTCGATTAACTCGAAATGTACGCAGAGGCTTGCCACGCTCTCGCATCGAAATGTGGTGATTCTTCTTAAATTACTTTAAACTCTACCATGCATAACTGCTTACAGTTTTGTAGCATAACTGTATATGGCTAATTTTAGTTGTGTTCTCATAATTGAATAGCCGGTCTTAAAAGCTTTACCAGCTATCTTTGATCAAGGCAAACGCTTATACGGAATTACAAATTAAAAAAGAGCTGCCAGCAGTCCGTGCATAAAATTTTACAGTGAAAATTTTAAAAAATATCACGCCTAAAAGTAGGCTTCATTTTTAGAAGTTGCGAAAAGTTACTTTCTTTTCAGATCGCATTCTTACTGAGTTTATGCTAAAAAAAAGTTATGGTAAGTTCAGAAACGTATTTTACTTATTCAAAATTATCATCTTTATAGTTTTAGTATTATATTTCGTACATCAAAACACCTTCAAAGCTCAAGATATTAATAATTAAAGCTTGCACAAGCGTATGCTTCTTGCATACTGCTCAACTACTTGCGAATACTTTGCACTTCACTCACACATAAAAACACAACAAATGCTTAATTAAAAAAAAGTACACATACACATGCGCATACAGACACACACACACTCATGCATGCCTCTGGCAGTGTGTGTTCAGGCCCACACTGAGGCGTTGAAAACAAGCAGTAGACAAGCGTAATAATAATTATGACACAAAAACACGCACGAAATACCAAAAGTACAATTACGAATGTCATGTTCCACTCAGTTGCTGTTCAAGTGCGGCAAAGCGCACACGTTCGCCTGACAGAATGACTAAAAAAGCAAGGAAACAAAAATTGAGAAGACTTCAGCAAGAATGCCACAATCAAAAGTTGCATTTGCGGAATGCCTGATTATGACAATAAATGCCGCAAATGAAGGAAAACACTTGCATCCTTATAACAACAACACCCACACATACGCATAACACAAGTAAACATATTCACAAACAACAAACGTGTGGCAACGCATGTGACTCTGCATACTGTTGGTGTGCGTTGGACAGGCAGACAGACAGACAGCCAGTTAGTTGGTAAGTCGGTTTGTGTGGCGGGCAGGTTGCAAGCGTAAGAAAAAATATTGCAATATGCAAATGAATGTGAGCAAAATACACATATGCGGCGTTTGTGAGTCAACCACACACACGACGTCTTTGCAACGCAGCAACAACCTTAACATACGAAATCGTATATTTTCTGCCGCGTCAACACTGCTCGTCTCGGAAGTTACGAAATTTTGTCAACGTATATTTTCTAGTTGCCATTTAGTGCTTAGTAGACATTTATTACAGTTATAATACCGCTGACACAACAAATTCAGTTGAAGCGACGAGGTGACATGTGGCAGCAAGGGAGAACCGAAAATACTATAATGTTGCGGCAGATACATACATATGTATAAATTGCAATAGCGCACATTTTCCGGCAAAGTATTACTGTTATTTTATTACAACACTTCGTCACCTAATTTCTGACACAGGAAAGTAAGCAATTTAAATTCCTATGCTACATGGTGGTTCCAGCTATAATACGATGTACAAATACAAAAGGTTGCTTAGAAGAACTTGATCCCGATCGTTCAGTTTCTATGGCAGCTATATGCTATAGTGGTCCGATATCGGCCGTTCCGACAAATGAGCAGCTTCTTAGTGAGTAAAAGACAGGTGCAACAACTCAGAATGCTATCTCAAAAATCCAAAAAGGGACTCGTTAGAAAATATACAGACAGACGGACGGACATGGTTAAATCGACTCAACTCAACATGCTGATCGTTTATATATATATTTTAAGTCTCCCACGTTTACTTTTGAGTGTTGCAAACTTCGTGGCAAACTTAATATAACCTGTTGAGGGTAGAAACAGGATGAAAAATGTACATTTTTATTTAACCATAAAAGTACGCTGAATTCTGCCACTATTATGTGGGTCAACTAATATATTTTGTGCGCCTACAAAGTAAAACACAATTTGGTCTGCAGTATTCTGCTAAAAACTGTAAAAAGACCCTGTTATATTAAATAGGTATTTATATACAAACTGCTTTCCACATCATCAAGCAGCTGAAGAAAATTCCAAAACTCACTTATCATTGCTCGGAGTTCGTCAGCAGTAATTTGGACTTCACTTGTTAGCTCTACCAATTATTGCTGTTGTTGTTATTTTTTCGAAGTTATCATAGTTATTGCAGCTGCCACTTTACATTCCACACGTATACGCCTTCGTAAGCACATATTTATGCGTTTGCGTTTGCGTTTGTGCAACTTTTATAATTATTGCAATGCTGCACTTGCAACATAGAAG